GCTTCCGCCCCGTTCTGCCCCCGGCGCCCGGCGTTTAAAAGGGCGGGGGTTCCTGCTGCGGGGCCCCCCGTGGCTCCGGGGCGCCTTTTTTTTTTTTACCGCACCCGTGGAAAAAGGAGTCTGCGCCCCCTCCCCTGGGGGTTGTGTGTGCGTGTGTGTTTTTGCGGTGGCGCGGGTCGTTTCGGGAAGGGCGGCGCTGCTGTGCCGCTGGGGTTTGGGGGGCCAACGGAGCCTGAGGGTTTCGTTTCCTCCCCTCCCCCCGTTTGTTTTGTATTTGGTGGTGCTTGATCTTGTTGCCACCCTGTCGGTGTCGGAGTTTTTGTTGCTTTCCTTTTTTTTGATTTGTGTATTCATGGGCAAAATGGACCCTGATATAGGACGGTCTTACCTTACAATTTCTTTTTGTTTCTTTGCTTCTTACAGTTGGTGTTGTTGGTGTACGAGCCATATTTTTTTTTCGTGATTTGTGGAGGCATTTCATGAGGTTTTATTATTATTTTATTTTGCTCGTGATGACGGTCGGCCCAGTGGACGATCTGTATTTTTCTTGCTGTTTTAATCCTTGCTCGTCTTGCATCTTTCACCTTTGTGTCGGTTTGTCTGGGTGTTCTGTTATTATTTTGTATTGTTTTTTTTTCGTGTGTTTTAAGTTTAGCTCGCTAAATTGTAAGGGATAATGCGTCGTTCATGCGTTATGGCTGTTATAGCCACAATGATAATGCTTTTTCTGGTTGCTGGAGCGAATGGGTTGAGGATTGCCGTCACACCGTTCCCTGAACGTGGCCGATTTAGACTAATGTCGGCCATTACTGAGGTGTTGCATTCCCGAGGCCATGAGGTGACAATTTTTGTCCCGGAGTCATTCATGGCTTTTTGCAGGAGTGAACTAGGAGATGTGTGTCGATCGGTTGGTGTTTATCGAGGGATTTATACGAACGAAGATGACTCTCTGAGGCCGCCATCTATAATTAAGCAGTTCGAGTTGCTTATCTCGATCGAGCGTGCAAGCGTGGCTTTCAATTCTTTCTTGGTAGCTGCACTCAACGGCACTCTAAACCAAGACCCTATAATTCCTGACGTTGTGTTGGCCGATATTGGTACATGGGGAGTGGATACTGTTGCCAATGGATTTCACATCCCAACTGTGTTTCTTTGGTCAATAACTGAGTGGCCTGCTCAGATGAATCCTTCTTTTCCTGCTTGTGGGAGTGGCGTTGGTGCAAGTATGAATGGAATCGAAAGAACAAAAAATTATGTTTCTCAGCGGTTGAACTATTGGGTTGCAAGATTTCGAAATGCAAGAATGGATGATTCCTTTGAGCCTTTTGAAAGTTTTCTGTACAGACGGCACATTATCGCACCGTTTGTTTTCGGGTTTGATGTAGTGCAGCCATTTTGCCCCAATGTGCATCCTGTCGGTTTTTTATTTCCACAGAATGTTACAAGAGGTGTAATGGATGCTAAATGGATGTTGTGGATGAATGGTTGTAGTAAGGGTGTTATCTACATAAATATGGGGCCCAATTCCCTCTTACACAACGAACTGAGAGAAATCCTTGGTGATTTTCTCAGAATTGTTGGGGAAAGGTCTGAAATGTGTGTTTTGTGGGAACGCCAAGTAGAAGAGTATCTCTTGTCAATGACTACAAGTAAAACAGAACGCCTTAAAGTGGTACAATTTTTGCCTTTCCCGACAAGATTGGTGCTGAATCACAACAATACAAGGGTGTTTATGACACATTGCGGGCATTCCTCCTTGTATGAAAGTATTGAGAGCCGTACTCCAATAGTGGGAATTGATCTTTTAGCTGGAGATTCCGATAGGTGTGCGAGGGTACAAGATGCAGGTGTGGGAATTGTATTTGACAAATATGCCTTGAATGCCTCCCAACTTTTTGAGATCATTTCGGAAGTTTCTAAAAAACAATACATTCATGAAAAGTTGTTGGGCCTTAAGCGAATGGGTTACGTGATGGGTGGCCCGCAAAGGGCAGCTGATGTTGTCGAGCTGACAGCATCGATCGGTAGAAATAATGAGGATTTTTTCTGCCGTTGGATGCAGCTACCGTATATTGAGAGACATGATTTGGATGTAGTTTTTATCCTTAGCGGTGTCATTGCTGCCGCTATTGTGGTTGTCGTGAAGATGGTGCCTTGTGGTAGGCACACCAAGAACGTTCGACTGAAACAGGATTGAGGGTTTATGCTGGTAGTTTTACTGTTTTCTTGCTACAAGCGTTTGCACATTGGTATGTGTGTCTCTAGTTGTGTATGTGTTTTCTGTTAGACCGCTGCTGATTCCTCATATTATTGATCGTTGCTTTGTTTTTCTGTAAATATATTATCTGCATCAAGAGTTCCCTGAATGGTTTGATTGTTTTTTTTTCCTTTTTCTTCTTTTGGGTTTATATCTTGTAAAAGGCAATAATAAAAAAAACAGTTTTTGTGGAGATGTCTGAAATTGAGGAGACCTTTCAGAGGATTAGCCAGCGACCAAACGTGACGGGTATAATCGTTGTGAACAACGAAGGCACTCCAATAAGAAGCACCATCGAGGACACAGCAACACAAAACCAATATGCTCACCTGATTACCGCATTGGCTGCGAAAGCCCGTCACTGCGTGAGGGATCTGGATCCGACAAACGATTTGTCTTTTTTGCGTATAAGGAGCAAAAAGAACGAAATCATGGTTGCACCCGATAAGGATTTTACTCTTATCGTCATTCAACGGTTCTCAGATATGTAGTGTTCATGCTAGAGGTTTTTGCTGCCGCTTGATGAATGATGTAGAAGAAGGTGTTTTTTTTTTTCGGCGAACAAGATATGCGACATGAAAGACAACAGGAGTATAAATATGCCAACTTACATTCTTTTTTTTTTGTCCTTCTTTTTTTTTGGTCTTTCGTTATTACTTTCTTTTCCTGGAAGTGAAGATGTTGAGTGTGCTTGAAGTTGCCCGACACGTCTTTTGGAATGATGCAATGTACGATCGGAACTTGCTACCACCTGAAGCTGTGTTAGCGAAATGTCAAACAACATTGGCGGATTTGTCGATCATGACTGGTGCTGAACGCGTTGCGGTTTTTGAAGAATGCGGTATCCATAGCTCACTTCACCCTTTGTTTCTTCGGGCATTACAGCGCTTGACGGCACTTTATGGTCCGGGGTCCATAGATGATAATTACGTTATACACCGCCATCTTAGTGCACAGCAATGGAGCCCCTTTTTGAACATTGCACCTCTACTCGGTTATTCATATGCTAACAGCAGTCCATTTAAGGCGGAGGATTCTGAGGCACCAAGAGTTACTCAGAAAGGAAGGATAAGCTTCACTGATGGGGGTAACAAGTCCAAGACAAAGTACAATGGATTGCTGAATCAAGGGGCAACGTGCTATTTGAATTCACTTTTACAAGCTTTGTTTCACATTTCAGAGTTCCGATTGACTATATATCAAATGCCAACTCTGGAGGAGGCGAAGGGGAGTGATGATGTCACCATAAAAAAAGCGAAATCTATCCCTTACGCCCTTCAAAGGTTGTTTTGCCTTCTGCAAAAAGGGCACGAGGCGGTGGACACTACTGAACTAACTGAGTCATTTGGATGGGGCTCGACGGATAGTTTTATTCAGCATGACGTCCATGAATTGACATGCGAATTGCTGGATAACTTGGAAAATAAGCTGAAAAACGTTCAACAACCCGAAAAAGGAATCGCGACAACGCAACCGAATAGCAATGCCATTAGCAGACTGTTTGTTGGGGTTTTAGAGAACTTTGTGCGTGTGGATGAAGTAGGTTATTATGGGGCGCGAGAGGAGCTATTTTACGATCTTCAACTTGTTGTAAAGAACACAACAAATATTTACACAAGCTTTGAGAGATTTTTTCAGGTTGAGGTTCTCGACGGCAAAAATAAGTATTGTCTGGAACGTGATGGAAAGAAATCATACCATCGTGCAGAAAAAGGAGTGCGCTTGAAACTTACCCCGCCCATTATGCTCTTACATTTAGCACGATTCGACTACGACATTGAAAGGGGGGAAACTAAGGTTTTAAGCCGCTGGGATTACTACAGTAAACTGGATTTATCAAAGTATATGCCCCATGCCTCCAAGGAAGATACCCAATACACACTTTGTAGCGTACTCGTTCACTCAGGGTCAAATACTGGGTTTGGACATTATTTTTGCTTTTTGCGCTGCTCGGATGCTTGGTACAGATTCAATGATGAAATTGTTTCACCAGCCTCGCTTCGAGATGTTTTTGGGGCGAACTTTGGTGGCTTTAAAATGAATTACTGGGGTTCCGGGGTGCCGAACACGACGAATGCTTATATGTTAGTCTACATCCGGACCTCAGAAATGAAGCATTTGCTGCGTCCTGTAGGACCAGAAGATGTCCCATGGCATGTGGTGGAGCAGCTAGAGCAAGAGCAACAAACGTACGAACGGCTCTTGAAGGAGCAGGCTGAAGATCATTTGCATGGGCGAGTTCATTTTATACAGCCTCATGAAATTGTGGAACAACAAGATCTACTTTCTTGTCGTTGTCCACGAGGAAAACAGTTTCCATCAAACAAAACTCTTAGACTTTTATTAAGTGCTGAAGCCCTCCCCGAATTTCAATCTTTTGTGGAAAAACAGTTTGGTATTCCTAGTTCTGACCAATTGTTGTGGTACGCAAATACTAGAACTGGAAACGATCGTGTTCGTCTACATGCAAGGGTTACGAGTAATTCAATTGTATCAGATGTTATGGGTGGTGAAAAAGAGTGTTGTGTCCTTGTAGTTACTTCATTCAATGCGGGCTGTATAAAAGTGGATGGAAATGACGAATTGGAGTACGAGCTCTTTCATCACAAACTGTATATCCCACTGCAGCTAAAAGTGATTTTTTTGGGATGTACAGTCGTATCCCGTAAACGACGCATTACATCTAAAGAGGCTTTGCAGCTGATGAAACCTTTCATTCAGAACTCTATTGCGGTGCTTCCAAATGATTCAAATGAAAAACCCAATCATCATTTGGCGAGAATAGGTTCGAAGGGTATAGTGGAGTTCGAAACAGTGGAAGCTGCGTCCGTTGGATCCCATTTTGCTGGGGGCGAGGGTGGGGCCTTACGCAACGAAACAAAAGAAAGAGCGGAGAATGAATTATCCGTACTGTGTGAGGATGAATACCAATCTTTTTTTAAATCTCCAGAGTACTTTCAGTCAGGAGATATATTAGTTTGGCAAGAAGAGACAGCAGAGGAAGATAAATGTGATGTCTTCTATCCCGACATCATAAGCTTCCAGCATTTTCTTAAATGTCGAGTTCCCGTAGAAATCAAGCTCAACCTTCCGCCCGCATATCCTACAGTTGTCGACACAAAACTTGCGGAGGACATGACTTATGAACAACTTCAAAGGTACGTTGCTCGATTAATTGGCGATCCGCGAAACTACGATCGTATCCGCTTTACAATGTACAGCCCAGAGACCAAACTACCGTACTTTATGAAGGGAAGGAAGAAAGACCGCCCAACGCTTGCTAAATTGCTGTCACCTCCTGTTCCACGTCAGACGGGTCTTTCACGATACCTTTACTACGAGTATTGTAAGTATACAGTGACAGAAGTAGAAGCAGCGCATTCCCTTCAGTTCAAACTATTTAGTGAATCTGTGAAGCCTATTAGCGAGCATTGGATTTTAATGCCGCGTGAAGCTCCAATAACAGCGAAGGAACTCTTTCGTACGTGTGTACATGAAATTCAACATACAAAAAGCACATGTTTTCTTTCAGTTCCGACAACACCACATAAAGTAGGGAGCGATAAAGAGGGGCAACAAGGAGATGCATTCGAAGCTGAATTAAGTTTTTTCACTGAACTTGTGCCTGAAGATGCGTGGCAAATGCTTCGACTTGTGGATGTTTGGCGCGCAAGAATTTACAATGTTTTTGACAAGGATCACCCGCAAACTTTTGATCGTTCCACATTTGAGGAAAGTGCGGAGTACCGTATTGAAAGAATTCCAGAACCACGAGAAGGTGTTCCTTTGCAACGCCAAACACTTGTTCAGGTGCATCATTTCACAATGGTTCGTCAACGACCGAATCCTGTTGAGACACACGGTGATCCGTTTAGTATCTACATTGGCCACGATGAGCTGGCACCTGCTCTCTTGGGGCGTATTGCCTTGAAACTAGGCCTCAGTGACGCGGCAGTGGTGGATTGGAAAATGGCCTTGGTAAAGGAAAACAGCGTGGTTGTGTTGCTTCCCAACGTACCAATGGGAAAGCAATTATTGGACTTCTGTGATGTTCAGCAGTATCAGCCTAACCAGCCGCATCCACTCAAGATGGCATTTTTAGGACTTGAACATGCTCCACTCTCAAAACGATCGGTGAAAAAGGAGGGAAAAGTTTTGATTCTTAATTAGTACTGGGGTGAGATGAAGCAAGCCTGGGAACTGATTTTATGTCGCTTTGGCTATTCGGAAATTTCTTTGGCTCCCCATACAAGATTTATCCCTTTTGCTTTCTGTATTGTTGCATTGTCTTTTTATTTTCTTTTGTGTGTTGCTCAAGTGACAAAAGAAAATGCGGTTAAGATATGATATTGCCGAACATTTATGTATGTATACATGCCTTCTTTTTGTTTCTGGCGTTTTTTTCTCCTGTCCTCACAACAAGGTAGAAACGCTTGATGAAGATGTCTGCGTCACCACAGGCCAATGCAGACGGTATGCATCGCTACGCTCGTGTAAATGTTGACAAGCCACGAGAATACTGGGACTATGAATCTGTCCGAATACAGTGGAGCTCTCCTGATCGTTATGAGATAGTTGAGAAAATTGGCCGGGGTAAGTACAGCGATGTGTTTCTAGGGTGGGACACTAAGACTCGTCATCAGGTGGTGATAAAGGTGCTAAAACCTGTGAAGAAGAAGAAAATTCTGCGAGAACTGAAGGTTCTACAAAACCTCCAAGGGGGCCCTAACATAGTTGAGCTGTTTGATGTGGTACGCGATCCATGCAGTAAGACTCCGTCTTTTATATTTGAGTATGTTCAGACTTCTAACTTTCGAACCATATTCCCTACGTTGTCAGACCTCGAGGTGCGGTACTATACATTTGAGGTTCTAAAGGCTTTGGAGTACGCGCATTCGATGGGCATCATGCACCGCGATGTAAAGCCAAACAACATCGTAATTGATCATCAGCGACGCAAACTTGTTCTTATTGACTGGGGATTGGCGGAGTTTTATCACCCTGCTACAACGTACAACGCTCGAGTGGCTTCCAGGTACTTCAAAGGGCCTGAACTCTTAGTTGAGCTTCCAATGTATGATTACCGTCTTGACATGTGGTCACTTGGGTGTATGCTTGCAGGCATCATTTTCATGAAAGAGCCGTTTTTCCATGGAAAGGATAACAACGACCAACTGGTTCACATCGCCAAAGTTCTAGGAACCGACGAGCTGTTTGAATACCTTCGGAAGTATAATCTGACTCTTCCTCCTCTTCTGGATGCAGCGGTGGGACGCCACACCAAGAAATCATGGAATATGTTCATTACACCTGAGAATCGGCATTTATGTCCGCCGGAGGCGCTGAACTTCCTAGATCAACTACTCCAGTACGACCACCTCAAGCGCGTGCAGGCTTTAGAGGCAATGCAACACCCATACTTTGATCCGGTGAGGGCTGAGTGCATGGCCAAGGTGGCCAAGAATAAAGGGGCCGCCAAATAGAACCAAAGAAACAAAAGAGAAATATAGAAACTCAACAGAGAAAAGAAGAAGGAATCATGAAGAATTGGGAGGAGGCATGTTTGCACCTTAAGTCAGTGCCTCTTTAAAATAAAGCCAAAAAAAAAACATCAACAAAAACAACAGGAGCATTATCTCTACCGGCGTAGTATATAATCCCCAAAAGTGGAGTGTGGTGTGATGTGAGGTGACGTGAAGAGGTGAAGTGAGGTGAGGTAAGGTAAGGTAAGGGAGGCAGTTGTGAAATAGGCATATGAACATTTGTTTTTTTTTTGTTTTTGTTTTTTTTGACTGCCAGGATCTCCTCCCCGTCTCCTGCTTGCTTTGGCCTTCACTATAAAGGGCACAGTTTGCAAAACTATGTGCCCCTCCATTTTCGTCACTGTCTCGGCAAGGCACAGAGGTGCCCCAATACGCACCACAAAGAGAGCGAGTCTCTTTTTTCTTTTTTGTATCTCCCTTTGTCTTGCTTGATGTCTTACACCCACCAAAATTTTGCATGCACACCTGACTCATTCTTTGTATTTATGTCTGATTTTTTCGTCTCTGTGGTGGTGGTTGGGGGAAGGGTGCAACAGTCTTGTCGCTGCACAGGGGAGTGAAGAAGGAGAGGGTGTGTGGTGTGGGTAGCTAAATCATCCACTCTACGTCACCAGCCCGTCAGCACCCTGTTCTTAGGTTTGTAGGGATAGAGAAAAGAGAGATGCTTGCGTTGAGGAGGGTAGCTGGGAGTTTGCGTTTTGCCAAAGTTGCTCAGCCGAATGCAATGATAAGCATACGAGTAGCGATTGGCCCTCTCCACCATCAGCGCTCGTTGTTTTGCAGTTCCACACCGCTTTTTTGTATCGGAGGTGGCGGTGAAAATACGTTTGACGATGCGGTAGTTGCGCGGGATGAGAAGGGAAATGCACTGATACGGGTAAAGCGACTTCCTCTCACCTTAATTGAAGAGGTCCCTCTCCCACAGCGCCTTCTGACAGATCTTGAACTGGTGATGATGGCATGGTGTGAGGAGCACGCACGGCAGTACGCTATCATTATGGCGGCAATTCGGTTAGGCATCTTCCTATTGTTGCTCATTATTCTTTATGTGTTCTACCGAACACAACTTTCTAGCGAACGAATGATACGAGGGGTAGCCCACATGCCAGCTGACCTACGTATTGGCAATGTAGTCTATTTCGACGTTACGGAGAACGGCGCAGACATTGGCCGTGTCGTGATTGGACTCCTCACCGAGAACTGTCCCCTCTATTGTGAGTACTTCCACCGACGGTGTACAGCCAGTGGAGGCACAGGTGACTCGTTTCGTGGTATGGTGCTGAGTGCTATTGTCCCGCGTCACTGTCTGATCTTTGGTGAAGGGAAAGAAATGACGCATGACGTCACTGGCTTCAACCCACAATATTTGCCCACAGAGCACCTCGGCACCGGATCATGGAGAGGGGCACTGTCTTCCATCGCGTACGGGGTTAACAAAGAGAGCCCCAATTTTGCTATTCACGTCTCTGCAGGTGACTACGCTCCACAAATATTTGGTCTTGTCATTGGAGGATTCGATGTGATTGAACGAATAAACGCAGCAGGTTCAAAACATGGCAACTGCCCAAAGAAGCAATTTATTATAGCAGAGTGTGGTGAATTATGCACGCTTGCCAAATCTCACATTGTCCCTATGCCATGGAAGTTGTACGAAAGCGTTTCCAAGGGGTATGACGAAGAGAAATTTGGCGAGAGATTTGAGCCCCAATTCCTTGATACTTCAGACGAGCGTTCTACCGCAAAGATGATGGGAAATACAGTTGTTGGGGAATCTGTAAAACAAACAAAGCCTTGGTGGCGGTTTTTTTAGGTGAACGCAGTATTTCCATTTATTCGTACACTTTCATCATTCCGGAGGTGAAATGATTTAAGTAATTACGGATTTATGGGAGTTGTTGTTCTCGCTGTTATGGTTGGCCACGTAAATTTGCTAATTAGTCACAGCATTTGTTTTTTCTCTCATCCCTCGGACGTAGGCTCCTTCATCATGATAGATTCGTTTTGCCCTCTTTTTGCGAAAAAGGAAGGCATGACATGCCCTTTGTTGTTTTCTTTTTGTTGTGTGGTGCACTTTCATCATCATAGAGACTCGTCCTTACCTTTCACTTTACATTGCATGAAAAGGACGTAGAAAGAAGGATGCTTGAATTCGAGGGCAGCAGCTTGTTCCGCCATCATATTGTCTGCAGCTTACTAACCAACAAACCGGTCCGTATTTCAGGTATTCATGACGAGGATGAGCCGCAAGGAATTCAGGTGGTTGAGGCGAACTTTCTTAAATTTATTGATCGCGTGACTAGCGGTTCCAAGTTCGAGTGTACTGATAACAATACCACACTAACATTTTACCCTGGTATTATCCTTGGTGGAAATTTTTCCCACGAGGTTCCTAGCAGTCGTTGTGTGAGTTACATCGCCGAGGTCGCTGTTCTTCTTCTTCCCTTTGCCAAGCTGGATACAAGACTGACATTGGTGGGCTCGACGCAGAGTGAGCTGGACCTCTCCGTTGACACCTTCCGAACTGTGACCACACGCTGGCTCCAGCTCTTCGGTGTAGAATGCAATGTGCGCATCATACGGCGTGGTGTGCATCCAGGCGGGGGTGGGGCCATTGACCTACAGTGCAAGGCTGTGAGAAAGCTGACTTCGGCGGATGCAGCAACGCAAGGGCGTGTGCGCCGCATTCGTGGTATTTCTTTTGGTTGTCGTATTGCAGCCGATCTTGCCCAGAGAGCCGCCACGGCAGCAAAGGGTGTTCTCTTGAATCTTCTCCCCGACGTCTACGTGGTAACAGATTTAGACAACTCCAAGAGGCCGCATGGGGAGTCGTCAAGCGGCTACGGTGTCCTTCTAGTGGCCGAAACAACAAGCAAGCACTGTGTTATCTCACAAGAAGCAGTTGCCGCGCCACAGGAACTCCCTGAAGATGTCGGTAAGCGTGCAGCAGAACTGCTTCTCGATCAGGTGCTCAGCGGTGGGTGCGTGGATGCGCATCATCAGATGCTTGTATTGATTCTTATGGCCCTCAGCCCAGATGAAGTGTCGACGGTACGGATTGGCCAAATGACCACAGGTGCGGTCTCTGCAGTGATGCTAATGGAAGCGTACTTCGGGGTGACGTGTGCAACTAAGGAAGAGCCATCGCTAGCGGGAAAAGAACTCCCCTCCACGACTCTTATCACTTGCGTCGGCAGCAATACTATCAACGTATGGAAGAAGAGCGGGTAAGTGCGATGTACTTTTGTGTGTGTTTGTGTGTGTGTGTGTGTGTCTTTGAGTGCCAAGTGATATTATTAACAACATCACTGGTGCAGCACATGAAACGGTTAAGATTACATGGAGAATTTAATGTGCATTTGTTTAACAAAGGCCATTAAGAAATATGACAGCTTGTTGATGAGCTATGAATTTTTTTCCCCCTTTTCCTCCATTTGTTATACCTCTATTTTGTTGTATTTACAACACACATATTGCCTTTGCCACTAAAGGGGAAGGCAGGAGATGGACTTGTGTTTGTCTCGTAGGGGTCTCCAGAGCTTTGATGCATCAAAGCTGTTGCTTGAGACATCAGAAAAGTCTCGCCAAGGGAAGAATCCCCCACCACGGGAATGCTACATCGCTGTACGTGCTTTGGATTTGTCGCATAACAGCATCACATCCTTTACGGGTAGGCATGCACTGTGGTGTCTGACAGTCTTGGACCTCTCCAACAACTCGCTTAGCACACTTGATGCTTCCAATCTTCCCGGAGGACTTATACGTCTAAAACTAGCACATAACACTCTGCAGGGTTTGCAGGGATTAGCCACCGCCGTTCCCAAGCTGCAGGAGATGGATGTGAGTGTTAACCGCATCACTAGCTCGGCTATCGGTGACCTCCCGAAAGGATTGACCACCGTGCTCTGCCAAAGCAATTTGATTGATTCTGTGTTGCCATTTCTTCAGCTTCAGTGCCTTTCTAGCCTTGACTTGAGCTCGAATCAAATAGCCGACCTTGGGGACTTGCGTAGATTGGGGGAGATACGGTCTCTACGTCATCTTGAGGTGCGCGGGAACCCTGCCCTGACTGAACCTGAAGCGCTCCCCTCGCTCCTTGAGGCGGTGCCGAAGCTTATTCGTCTGGACCGCGTTCCATTGTCACAGGCGGCGGAGAATCAAATGTTCAAGGTTCACCGTTCCAGAAGTGCAAAGGGGAGCCAGAGCGGGTCTCAGGCGATGGTAAGAAGCGGCTCTCTCTCGAATAGATCTGCCACAAGGCGCCCTAATGGCAAAAACGAATCGGATATGGAGACACGCCTCTTGGAAACAAGAGTAAAAGAGCTCACGCGACTTGTGGGTGCCGCAGAAAAGTCGGAGCAGCAGCTACGCTACCAGAAGAAGATTCTCCAGGATCAGGTTTTGGCCTGTGCAGGTGTTATAGATTCCCAGGCGATGGAACTAGAGCGGCTGATGGGCAAAATAAACGAGTTGAGGGATGAAGAAACGTCACTGAAGGAGCCTGCTGCGGAGTTGGAACAAACTTTTGAGCAAACACATGCATCCCTCGTGGCACATAGATTAAATCAGTCCTCTGGGCGTGCTTGAAGTGAAGATGAAGGAAGTGAGGCTGAACAGAGTGCCATTTACAAGGAAGAAAAATTTGTATATACGTATATATATATATATATATATATGTGTGTTTGTGTGTGTGTGATCGATATTTTTTTTTTTAAATAAAGGTGCCCGCTTTTTGATCTGTTTTTAATTTAAATAGGGTTTCTTAATTAGAGTGCATTAGGGGTCTGTACCATAGCGACGCCCCTCGCAAAGGGATTGTTATTCGATATTTCTTTTTAGAGTGCCAACAAAAAAACGAAGACTAAATTAGAGAGAGAATAAAAATCAACATCCTCACAAATGTGCGGCTATGATATTATTGAATGGATGGGTGGCACAAGCCGCTTTATTACGTTCCTGACCTTTCTTATTCACTTCCTGCACCCGTTGTTATGTATCGCCAACTACTGTGCGTGGGTGACTTACCAAGAGGAGGTACTGGGAGCGCCACTGAGGATTGCGTACCTCGTCATGAGCATCATTGCTGCTGTTTCGTACTTGTTCGTGGCCTCCATATTCTACATGTGGGCGTGGCGCTTTCCTGAACCGGAAGAAGTGTCTAAAAGGCGCCGAATCTACGGTATTGTGGTGAATCTTTTATTCTCTGACATACCCATGTTTGTTATTGAAGTGAAGATTTGCTGGAAAGTGCAATTCGCACACGGAGTACAGGGTACTTCGTTTGTTATCACGTGTATCTCTCTCATGTACTCCGCTGTGCGTGTGTGGACGTTCATTATGATCAAACTCATCAAGCTACGTGCACCAGTTGTCGGGACTCAGCCACAGTTCTCTGGATCGGTCATGTACCCTAGCTCCAGTCGCCCACCGGGACCATCGGGTTCTTTCTACCCTGGCAACAACACAATGCGTGATGGATACTATCCCGGTGGAAGTGGCATAGATCACCAAAACGACCGCAACAGCTACCCCCAGGATCGTTACGCACAAGGTGATGCCTACTGGCGGGAAACCCCGTATACAGAGCGTCGTTACAGTGGCGATCAATATAGCACACCTGGTCGTCCCTCCCGGTCCGTTTACTAGCATAACGGCATTTATAGAAGCCACCGAGATAGTGTGAGTGCTCTGGGGTTTCCTTTTCCTTCCCAGTCTCTTGGTCTTATCGTATTGTTTGGCCGCACAGTGGTGTGGGCCGGAAAATACCATCTTGTGTACCTATGTATATATGCATATGTGTATGTATTTACATATTTGTATGTGTTTGCGTACACGAAGCCTATAGTATCATGCTTCTCTTGCTTTTCCTCCCTCTTTTCTCTCGCTACCACTGCACGATGTAATATCAGGGTGTTTCTAGGTGGATAATGGCCAGCATCAAGTGTGGAAGCCGCCGCAAGGCCCGCCGCGCGCACTTCCAGGCGCCGAGCCACGTGCGCCGCATCCTCATGAGCGCGCCGCTCTCAAAGGAGCTCCGCGCCAAGTACAACGTGCGTGCAATGCCCGTACGTAAGGATGATGAGGTGCGCGTGAAGCGCGGTGCGTTCAAGGGCCGCGAGGGCAAGGTGACGGCGTGCTACCGCCTCAAGTGGGTGATCCACATCGACAAGGTGAACCGTGAGAAGGCGAACGGCAGCACCGTTGCCGTTGGTGTGCACCCGTCCAACGTGGAGATCACGAAGCTGAAGCTCAACCACAACCGCAAGGCCATCCTTGAGCGCAAGGACCGCAGCACGAAGAGTGACAAGGGCAAGGGCAAGGTGACCGCCGCCGAGAAGGCCATGCAGCAGATGGACTAGACATGTCAAGAATAAAACGCAGCGGAGTTTCGGAGGCACATTTGTTTGTTTTGTTCTTTTTGTTTCAACATCCTTTTTTTCTGTCTGTGTTGCGCTGCCTCTTTGGTTGTCGTACTGTTGGGCGTTGCTACCCTGGTGTGTCTTATCTGACGATGCGGCAGTGACAGCCCTCTCTCGTCTGCTCTTTTTTTTTGTCTTTTTCGCACGTTTGCCCACTCCTCGTTCAGGTAGAGGCACGACGATGATGGCGCCGGGCTCCACCGTGCGCTGAGGCGGGGCCATGGAGGTGGGGGGCGGCGGTCACGGCACGCCTCCGCATGGCGTTTGTCGCTCTTCGTTGTGCAGTCATGGCGTGAGAGAGAGAGAGAGAGAGAGGGTGGTTGGCGCGGCGGTGGTCTGCTGCGGCGCATGCTCGCCCTGCGTGCGTGAGAGCGGCGGCGTGAAGATGGTTCTCAGGTGATGCACAGCTCCTCCCGGGG